TTCGCCTGAAGCCGCCATATTGTTTTTATACGGGATGCTAATCGGAACCCTTTAAACATGGATTACTATGATCATGAAAATTACCTGGAATTACCTCAAGATTATTCTTCCAGTTGTTTATATAGTTTGAGCGGATGATCAATTACACACGGCACGACGTATTGGTCCTACTGACTTGACATTTGAACTTCTATATTTTGAAATCCATTGAAACAAGAAAACCCATGGGGTTGCTTTTTATTGATGAGTTGCTTGTTTATTCAAACTTTTCTATTTTTTATTTTGAAGTCGTTATAAGATGGAGGTTAGTTACACGTTGTAAGAGTACGTGTACATAAATTCCTAAAGAAATATGGTCTCCGGGGAATTACTTGCTCCTCTATTTGTATTGAACTTGTAAATGAAAAATAGTTGTAATTCGCGGCCCCTGGAAGAAAATTGAGAGGGGACAGGGATTAACGTCCAAATTCTCTTCAAAACGTGTGGTTGACCTTCCTATTATATCTGCATATATCAACATACATAGAAGATATAAAAAACTATTTTATGCCATCTATTGACAGTTTTGAATTCATTATATATACTACATTACAGGTCATGCAATAATAGACAGTTCCGATAAATTCTGCCACCTTTTGATACATAGAAAAACTTTGATATATTAGTCGTCATAGCTAGTTAGAAACTGCCATGCAAAAACAAGATAATCTGTATATTATTGCAACGTGTAAATTCATTCGTCAAGCCAGTCTATGATCAAAGTGTTTCTGATATATTGTCAAAAAGTGGCAGAATTCTTTGGAAAGATCTATTTGCATACAAATCAATCATAGACATGCTGTATATCATATTCTAAACAATGTAAGTACCAGCTATAGGCTTAGTATACTTCATACACAGAGAAACTTGAATCGTTTTGGACCAATTAAAAAAAAAAAAAAGTATGATGACCTATGATTTCAACTTTCTAAACTTTAATTGCTGAACTTTCCAGTTTGAAAAATCAAAAAATCCTGTTTTCAGTTTTGGATCTTAATCCCGTACATAATTCCCTAACAAGAGAGAACAAACTATTTTCTAGCTTTAAGTAAAAAACGATGTCGGTGATACAACATTTTTTGTTTGATTATGATGGATATTATATATTTATACATTTATATTTATTAATTTATTATGTACTCGCATATAAATTTAATCATGTCATGGTCATTTTAATATAAAAAATATATATAATTCAGGCCCGTAGCCAGGGGAGCGAAAATCATGCAGTTTTTCACTATTCTGAGAACTTTTCGCATGGTTTTTAGCCAAAATTGTGAAAAAGCTCCCCCCCCCTGGAAGAAAGCTCCCCCTCCTGGTAAAAACTGGCTACGGGCAAGCACTTAATCGTCAAGATATTTTAGGCCCCAGGGTATACATCTTTGTATACTAAATAACAACATTGCCTTTTCATATGTTTAATACTCATTTAATATGTTTATTCACACGTATTAACATATTTTGTTAATGACCAGTAGCCCCGTTGCTTTGTCTTAAATCATGCATAGTAACATATCCATTGTTTTGACATGCACTATCATGCAAAGTAAGCCATACACACGTGTCTATCCCATACCATATTTGGCAAACTTGGCTTAAACCATGCAAAGTTAGCCATACACACGTGTCTATCCTATACCATATTTGGCAAACTTGTCTTAAACCATGCATAGTAATATAAGCCGTCCAAGTTGATCCTACATCATATTAGGCAAACTTGGCTTAAACCATGCATAGTTAGCCGTTCACGTGTTGATCCTATACAATATTTGGCAAACTTGGCTTAAACCATGCATAGTTAGCCATACACACGTGTCTATCCTATACCATATTAGGCAAACTTGGCTTAAACCATGCATAGTTAGCCGTTAATGTGTTGATCATATACAATATTAGGCAAACTTGGCTTAAACCATGCATAGTTAGCCATACACACGTGTCTATCCTATACCATATTAGGCAAACTTGGCTTAAACCATGCATAGTAAGCCATACACACGTGTCTATCCTATACCATATTTGGCAAACTTGTCTTAAACCATGCATAGTAATATAAGCCGTCCAAGTTGATCCTACATCATATTAGGCAAACTTGGCTTAAACCATGCATAGTTAGCCGTTCACGTGTTGATCCTATACAATATTTGGCAAACTTGGCTTAAACCATGCATAGTTAGCCATACACACGTGTCTATCCTATACCATATTAGGCAAACTTGGCTTAAACCATGCATAGTTAGCCGTTAATGTGTTTATCATATACAATATTAGGCAAACTTGGCTTAAACCATGCATAGTTAGCCATACACACGTGTCTATCCTATACCATATTAGGCAAACTTGGCTTAAACCATGCATAGTAAGCCATACACACGTGTCTATCCTATACCATATTTTGCAAACTTGTCTTAAACCATGCATAGTAATATAAGCCGTCCACGTTGATCCTACATCATATTAGGGAAACCTGGCTTAAACCATGCATAGTTAGCCGTTCACGTGTTGATCCTATACAATATTAGGCAAACTTGGCTTAAACCATGCATAGTTAGCCATACACACGTGTCTATCCTATACCATATTAGGCAAACTTGGCTTAAACCATGCATAGTAAGGTAAGTAAGCCATACATACGTGTCTATCCTATACCATATTTGGCAAACTTGTCTTAAACCATGCATAGTAAGCCTTCCACGTGTTGATCCTATACAATATTAGGTAAACTTGTCTTAAACTATGCATAGTAAGCCTTCCACGTGTTGATCCTATATCATATTAGGCAAACAGGTCTTAAACTATGCATAGTAAGCCTTCCACGTGTTGATCCTATATCATATTAGGCAAACTTGTCTTAAACCATGCATAGTAAGTCGTCCACTTGTTGATCCTATACAATATTAGGCAAACTTGTCTTAAACCATGCATAGTAAGCCATACACACGTGTCTATCCTATACCATATTAGGCAAACTTGGCTTAAACCATGCATAGTTAGCCGTTCACGTGTTGATCCTATACAATATTAGGTAAACTTGTCTTAAACCATGCATAGTAAGCCATACACATGTGTCTATCCTATACCATATTAGGCAAACTTGTCTTAAGGATGTTCCCTGGTCAGATAGGAAAATATTCAATAGTATTTAACTTTTTCTCAAAAATGGTTTTCTGGGATTCTCACGGGCAACAAAGAATATTAAAACTTTAAAAACCATATGTTAGTGTGCTTTTTTCTGAGCAAGAGGCCTCTAAAGTGTCAATATTTGACAAAAGTGGGCGTGGCACTTTCTCATTGAAACCCATGTTAAAAATCAGGTTTTCACCCCAAAACACACTTTTGAATATTTAACTTTTTCTTAAACTCACAGAAACACTTAATTATGCTATGTACTTCACATTTTGAAAAGAAAAATTAGGGGTTGGTGTTCATCGTTTTCAACTTCGTCCAGGGAACATCCTTAAACCATGCATAGTTAGCCGTCCACGTGTTGATCCTATACCATATTAGGCAAACTTGTCTTAAACCATGCATAGTAAGCCATACACATGTGTCTATCCTATACCATATTAGGCAAACTTGTCTTAAACCATGCATAGTTAGCCGTCCACGTGTTGATCCTATACAATATTAGGTAAACTTGTCCTAAACCATGCATAGTAAGCCATACACACGTGTCTATCCTACATCATATTAGGTAAACTTGTCTTAAACCATGCATAGTTAGCCGTCCACGTGTTTATCCTAAACAATATTAGGTAAACTTGTCTTAAACAATGCATAGTAAGCCATACACACGTGTCTATCCTACATCATATTAGGTAAACTTGTCTTAAACAATGCATAGTTAGCCGTCCACGTGTTGATCCTATACAATATTAGGTAAACTTGTCTTAAACCATGCATAGTTAGCCTTCCATGTGTTGATCCTATATCATATTAGGCAAATTTGTCTTAAACCATGTATAGTAAGCCATACACACGTGTCTATCCTATACCATATTAGGCAAACTTGTCTTAAACCATGCATAGTAAGCCATACACACGCGTCTATCCTATACCATATTAGGCAAACTTGTCTTAAACCATGCATAGTAAGCCATACACACGTGTCTATCCTATACCATATTAGGCAAACTTGTCTTAAACCATGCATAGTAAGCCGTCCACGTGTTGATCCTATACCATATTAGGCAAACTTGTCTTAAATCATGCATAGTTAGCCGTTCACGTGTTGATTCTATACAATATTAGGTAAACTTGTCTTAAACCATGCATAGTTAGCCGTCCACGTGTTGATCCTGTACAATATTAGGTAAACTTGTCTTAAACCATGCATAGTAAGCCATACACACGTGTCTATCCTATACCATATTAGGCAAACTTGTCTTAAACCATGCATAGTTAGCGGTTCACGTGTTGATCCTATACAATATTAGGTAAACTTGTCTTAAACCATGCATAGTTAGCCTTCCACGTGTTGATCCTATATCATATTAGGCAAATTTGTCTTAAACCATGCATAGTAAGCCGTCCACGTGTTGATCCTATACCATATTAGGCAAACTTGTCTTAAGCCATGCATAGTAAGCCGTCCATGTGTTGATCCTATACCATATTAGGCAAATTTGTCTTAAACCATGCATAGTAAGCCGTCCACGTGTTGATCCTATACCATATTAGGCAAATTTGTCTTAAACCATGCATAGTAAGCCGTCCACGTGTTGATCCTATACAATATTATTTAGGAATACATGTACTTGTCTTAACATATGTCATTTTGCAATAGTCATAACTCATGCTTAACCATTCATGTGTTGATACCATATTAGGCTTATATGTTTCTTGTCTTAACATATACCATTTTTGCAACACTCATAAATCATGCTTAACCATTCACGTGTTGATCCATATCATATTAGGCATACTTGCCTTAAATCATGTATAACAAGCAATCCATGTGTTGATCCTATACCATCTTCGTCATTTTATACCATCTCTGAAAGACAAAACTGCAACTGCTTATTCAACAATCAACTATTTTATTTATCGAGCCCCGTTTACACTGGCCACAGTGCCCAGTCTATTTTTCTTAAGCAGTAAACTCCCAACCAAGAATATATCCACTATTATTTTCATGCTTCTGTTCCAATAATTTAAAAGGGTAGGTGCAAGCACATTCTTCTAGCACATCTTTCCATCCCCATTCAGGTACACGATAGAAAAAACCATGCGACAATATTGATGGAAGAATTTTCGAATAAATCAATGTTATATACATGTATACACCCAGCCCGAACACCCCACACCTGGCCAAAAAATTCTTAATCATGCAGTTTTAACCATTTGGGTCAAATTCCAATTTAACCCCCCCCCCCCCTTCAAATTCTTAAAAACTGATCCATTTGGCAAAAAGCTAGAAATTTCTTCCCTATATATAAAATAAGGAAAATTTATAATTTTAAGTTAAGTACATCGGGGCAACATCAAAAGAGATAGGAACCCCTTGCTAAAGTCATCGTGGTCATATCTTGCCAATCACCTCCGACGTTACCAAGGGTTGTCGATATAAAAGAATTGTAGCACATGGTATCAAATAGTCTTTAATACATTGGATATCAATGGCACAATAACTACAAGATTATAGCCCCAGCTTAAGCCATCATACCGTGTGCTACGCTCTGGTGTTAGCAAAGGACAAATATATCATAATTGTAGCACATAATATCACGAGACTGGGAACTACCCTTTGGGTAGATATACTACGGAAAATATGAGGCAGCCTAAGCTCCCTATGATGAAGTGCAAGTGTTTTCGAAAGATATATGTATTGATAAAATTATGCCTACCCTTATACCAACGGCACACCATGTACATAAGAATCCGTCTTCATTTTGAGCTATGTGATACCCTTGTCTGTGGTAGAGAGATGCTGCACGGTTACGCTGAGCTACATGGAGGCTCATTTTCTAAAAAATGAAATATTTGAAACGAACACAATTCAAAATCCCTTTACATCATAATTCATAACCTTGACCAAGTCAAACTCTTTTACTTATCTTGATTTCTATTATGATTAGTAATTCAAGATCAGATAAGTACTAAGAAAATATGGACTTGGGCAAGTCTACATAACTCATAGCTTGACAGAATGAGACACCGCGTCCTTGTGTTCGTTGTCATGTCTTCTTGGAAATATATATCATTTATGCAAAACAGAAAGATGTAATGAGTATCGGAAATGTCTGTACTAGTTCCTATTGTCTAAACATGATAAAACCAAAACTGAAAGTTATTAGATTGAGTGCAATCTGTACTTTACGCTTTCCTTGATATTACTCATGATTTTGAGGCATTTCTATTGGTTACGTGTTCTACTGTTTCTATTCTACTTACACTGCATCCTTTCGCTTTGGCTTCATATTCTGCTCTCTCCAGTAGAAGTGTACCAATCCCCTTACCCCTGTACGCCTCATGTACACATACACACTCTACGTAACACTCCTGTGATTCTGTATGAGCCTCTGACACAAGACATGCCATAGATAGCATCCTGAAGAGTCAAAAAAAGTTGTATGTTTTGGGAAGAAACAAGAGCCAAAAATCATTCCAAATTTATGCAGTTTGCATTTGATTTTGGGCCTAATATGTCAAAGCATATCCTCCCCCTCCCTGGAATTCGTTTTGAAAAGTGACCCTCCTCCTGGTAAAAGCTGACTACGGGTCTGCTGTAGAACCAATCATCTTTGTTTTTCCAAAGGATAGGTATCGATATGGTGAACTGAATTCAACGATATTTTTCTCTTAAACCAATTATTGAAAACATTCTGTAAAAACACGGTCCTTTATGTAATGTTGACTGAAGGGCTACAATTTCATGTAAAAATTATTTTTATATATTTTATATTACTGTTTTTGTTAACATTTTTTGTTTTTACTGCAATTGTTTTTTGTTCCTTTCTACCAATTCTTGAGAATGAAATAAAATGTCTTTCCGAACCTTGTTGGAACAAAATAGCATAAACAACATTTTCATAGACCTCTCAATATTATAGTTTTACAAAGGAAATTTTGGTTGATTTAACAAAAAGTATGGAAAAAACTTAAAACAAAACCCCCCTAAATAGATAAAAATTAAGATAAACCTTTTATTTCATTAACAAGATACTTTTTAAAAATCAACCAAACTTTCCTTTTTACAATTACAATAATGAGAGACCTAAACACGTTGCGTTTATGTCGTTTTGTTCCAATGAGGTTCGGATAGATGTTTCATTCCGAACATGTAATACCAAGAACGAAAAAAGTGTCTGATGTGTTTTCTAAAACAATATAGAGAAAAGAATATATATATAATTCAAATTATAATGTTACCATCCAAAACATGGTCATTAAATTGACGATGTGTAAAATGTTCAGAATGTTTTGATGACTGGTATTCAAAAAGGTCACCTTATCGATACCACTCATTTAGCTTCGATGTTTTTTCAATCAACTTACCCATATGTTCCATAGCACCCCAGTTTTTCATAAAGGTCACATAGCGACACATCGATTTCTCTGAAAAAATTTTAAATATCAATTCAACTTTTTGAAAAAACATCATTGATCAAATGTTAACAACATAGTCAGTTCATAAAATACATATACAAATGCCCATCAAATACACGTATCTCTGCTATTCATCATTGGAAAATGTCAAGATTGACACAAAGAAAAGAGATGATATGGGTTATCTTTATGAAAACCCTGTTATCACGTGTCACCAAGAACAGCTTCTCATTGGTTATTCTTCAAAATCCCAGAATGCAACTCACTCGTCTCCATGGAGCTTGATGATAATCATCCCAGCAGGTTTGTTCTTATATTCAGCAATGAAAGTCCTACAGTAGCCATCAACATTATTCCGTGAGTTTTTCTCTAGTATCATGGCAACTCCTTCAGTCCTGCAAAAGAAACGAGTCAAGTATTCTTGAAAGATGTCAATAAACTATCAAGTGGTAGAATAATGTTTACTTATTGGAACGTGTCCTTTGTTCTCGGTAATGGAATGTTTTCACAAACCAAATACGAATCAGAGGAAGCGATACTCTTTTTTTCAAAATTTTATTATTTTTAGCAAATTAAGGGGGTTAATAGAATATTGTGAAGTGAACTGTGAAAAGGGAAAATTCAAAAGGAAACAATTTTGCTTGCACATTCAAACATACAGAAATTGTCAGAGATACGTTTTACGATTTCATCAGCACTAACACCATTAAAGCATCTAAAATTTTCTGCAGAGATCTATATCTACGGCCTTGGGGCTAACCGATGGAAGAATCAAGGTATCGAAAATATATTCTAAGACCAAGAGACAAGTTATCCTAAGAGCAATCTATCTTTCCATGTACAGCTTGAGACCATCATATTTTATGTTAGTCTCAGGTACAGCGATGCAGATCATCCTGGTACTCGCCGTATCAATTATCTATCACAGAAAAACAAGATGTATCCATAAGAAAGAAAAGCATCAAGTTGGCACGAATGAAGCTCTTACAAAGGGCAGGACAAACAATTATAAAATGGATTATGATTAATTCGCATTGGTTATTTTTTATCTGTGGACAAATCGTATTGATTCGGAATCTCCGTGAGCCTTTAGAACGGACAACACTTCAATTACTCAGCATAGAAAAGTCATATGACCATTAAGGCAGTTAAGCCAATTTCTTGAAAGGAAATCAATATCTTCAGAGGGAAATATTATTTCCGTTTGTAGATATTGGGTCAGGTGTATTGGGAAATTATTCCTCATAAAAGCAGACCTGGACAAGCTACATGAAATGCATAATAACCAGCAATGATTCGGAGTGAAAGGGCCCTGAAATTGTCTCATAATCAATTAGTTACTCCGATTGAAAAAGTGAAACAAAATAGCTCAGGTCAAAAGTTTAAACTTATGTCGTATTTCAAGAAATACACATTCCCCTCCCCAAGTCTAATTCCCACGAATTTGTATAACTTATCACTGTATAGACCTACCCATTATCATATATATACTAAGTTTCTAAAAGCCAAAATCTAAAGAAAATACCAAAAATAAACTGTACGATTAAGCCCCATCAAGCACCACTGACCTATAAGTCTTATGATCAAGTTTACTTTGTACAATCAAGATTTGATTTTTAATTTTTTTTATTTAGAAAGTGGTTTTGCCCAATTTTTTGTAAGTTGAATTTATTGCCCTTTTCTGAAATATGGGCAACTTCGCACGGGGCCTTTAACAATATACAAACGTTGTACCTGCTTTTTCCCACTGCCCATTCGTATTTAGATTTGAACGATTCCACCTCCATCCTTCCCACAAATTCAGCGTCATGTTCTTCCATCGTCCTTACAGTGATATCCGGAACACATTCAGGTGATAGCGATTGCATGTCAGTCTTGTGTTTGGGTGTATCTTCAAAAGTCCTCACTATGATGTTATCCGGCGTGTTTGGTATGCCTCCAACGTGTTCATGATCAGTACAAGCATGTTGACGAGTCTTAATTTTTCCATCACCTCTGATACCCATTGAGCATGGTGATGATGCGCTATCATATGCATGTGTTTCATCCATAGCACTATTTATATTTTGGATGTCGTCCAGTATGTTCAAGCGACTTCTACTCCCATTTACATCTTTGGTATCATAACCTGCATCATCTTGAGTATCAACATATTTATTTTCGCGAGTACCGCCATTCCTAATATTTTGGGCGTTACGACCTGTACAATTTGGCGCCCCATCATATCTTGCATCTTTGTTGTATGGAAGAACTTTTTCATGCTTTCCTTTACCAGTTATAATTCCAATTTCAGGGTATTCCAAGGTATCATACCGGCCATGTGGTTGCTCGACAATGACATTACTGGCGTAGTGGTCTGTCATAGTTTCATTAAATCTGCAACATAGCTACGCTTATGATTGCTATTGTCAACATATTATGTTATAATTAATAACCGTTCTTTGCACATCAATTACTGAATTACAATATGTTTTCTATTTCCGTGATGAAATTTGTATCACGTTTTAATATCATACTTTCTCAGTTTAATATGTCTTTGATATATCCATATTAGGCTAATTAATGAATCAATTTTTATTCGCTCAATATACCCTGTTGTTCTGCAAGCCCAATATTCTCTAAATACTTTAGTCTCCAAATATAAACACAAGAGTCCCAGATCTTTACACAGAAGATAATCAAGAAAACTCGGATACCTTTCCAATAAACATTATACGCACTCATCGATGGATGATTTAAACATTTAAACGATGCTGCAAATGATCAAGATACTCATGTTAAAGGCTGTCGATTTTCTCAGATGTTGTATCTGATATATATTCAGTATCGATGATCATTAGACCGTCATTTACAATTGCTTTCTTTATTTGTTGTAGGATCAGTTTGTGATTGCATCTCTTGAATGTATCGCTTCCTGTTTGATCCCCTATCGCTCGAGTTATGTTACATTTAATGTTACATGTTAAGCCATTCTGATACTCATCACATCTTTCGGTTTTTCAACCAGAAATATGCTTTCTAGAAAGGAACTGATAGAAGACCATGATATCTAATGAGCATATAGCTAGACATGATATATCACGATCCGCTTATATTAATTAGTCCAACCAAAACCAGATTGTCGCATACTATACCCAGTCCAATGTTTCACAACAGGTGAATTAAATGGTTATTTTTGGATTCACCGAAGTTGATTACCCTTGTCAATTTCATATATTTTAAGTTAGCCATTCTCTTCTCTCCTTTATCGTATGCTATTCTTGAACCCCGATGTACAGTCTTGTTTTCAGGCAAGCAACAATTATTATATTTCACAAACAAAGTGTTGGTTCTTGTACTTAAATCCTTAGATTTAAGTATGATAACATCAAATGTAGTACTTATAATATTACTGGTTAATATTTTTCCATTTTTCTTTTCTACACACTATTGCATTTCACAGCCTTTCCATAAATGTTACATTTATTACGTTAGAATGATTGACCTCTGTCGTATTCTCTGAACATGAAGAAACGAATGATAATCTACTGTCTTATAAGACGCCCTAGATAACAATTTTAATTATAAAGGTGTATCTTTGTTTCGTAAACTTGTTTTAATCATCTTTCTCCTACCAAGCTTTGGCCGCAGGTATTGAGCACGAGTCTGATACTTAGAAATCCAATTTTACCGTTTATGATATATTGTAAAGGGAAAGTGCTAATTAAATATTTCCTCATGACACTATCTTTGCAATGGGCACGGTCCTGTGAGGCATCGAGTGTGTTATTAGAAATGACAAATGGTAATTGCTTCTTATATATAATGTTCCCAAGACAATAAAAGAACAGAACATGATTGTGTTTCAATATTAAAGGAAACAGATAACTTTGATGATTGGGTTGTCGATAATTACTTGGCAGTGAAGATAAAAAATAATCATAAGTTCATGTACCCCCGCAAAAGTTTGAGGAACTTTTACACAAAGTAATTACACACATGTACAGGTGATTAAAAAATGGGACACTCGTATTTCAAAAGTAAATACGGATTTTAATGATGAAAACATGTCATATTATATATGTGTTGGTTTTTGCGTGTTTTGGAAAAACCGTTTTGAAACGAAAATGACGTCATTTGTATTATCGATGCTGGTTGACATCCATTATTATAAACTTGAACTTATGATATACCAAATTAAATTCCCTAACCACTGGTATATAATATAATATGTTTTCATTGATAAAATCAATATTTATTTTGGAAATATCAGTGTCCCATTTTTTGACCACCCTGTGTATTTACATTCAATACTTTTTTTGTACATTTAATATATCTTTTTGTACATTAATTTTATTGGGAATTATAAAAACATTTCGCTCTTTGGTTCAAATGTGAAAAAGAATTTGATATTTGATATCATTTAATAAGACAAGCTAATGAATAGCAATCGACCAAACCTTGACTATTCTAGAATGCTCAACACAAAACAAACAGAGCTAAATCTATAACCATTAATTATATAACTCATTCGGGTCATTAGGATGTTAAACAATTACTCAGAAGCGAGTAGCTAGGTAGTTACCAGTTTCACCACCAGGTGGCTGATTCGGGGGAAATAACATGACGAGGTATTACAAAGTTCCCTTAAACTTGAATATTCATTAGTTTTATTGGTTCACTTTGCATATTACCTTTATGTATCTGATAGTTATACAAATTAAACTATGTCCAGTAAAAGAAAATATTATCTGCCCAAAACAAGAAAAGATATTTCACTTTTTGTGATTTTACAACATGGGGTCTACGGGGAATCTCCCCGACCTAGAAGTCACATTTTCAAAAAAAATTAAATTTTGATTAAAGTTGATAAACTCTTTTCAAAACCAAAGGAGCACGTAGGTTATCCAAACAATATCAAACGATTCTAACTTGAATTATGAATATTTTCTGATCATGAACATGAGTGTATATTTTAGATCCATTCATTATCTTCAAGAAAAGTATATATAATGATAATTTAGTTAATCATACCTAAGTGATATTGAAGGGGCAATGGACCATGGGCTTTCAATAGACAAACTTGTTGTTACAAAAATGTTGACCCAATTTTAACCAAAAATGCAATCTTTTATTATATTGTTGAATGCATAATTAGAATGTGCTTTGAGACATGTTCGAATTCCTAAAAGGAAAAGTTGATTGCTCCAGGGACTTTAAAGATACTGAATTTGGATGACCAAAATAAACTATGACTTCAATTCGACTGAATTATGAATTTATAATGACGTAAATCAAGATTATTTATACTCGCACCTAGTCTAATTGTTATTGCATACTTTTGAGTTGTAAATAATCATACCTAATTTATATTACATCGATTAATTAAATTAAGACTAATATGTATTACACTCTTAGCTGGTCTATGCAGAATTTCCTTTCTTGAATGCAAACATAAGCTATGTTTAAATAAAAATAATTTGCAGGGAAATAGAGTGAACGTGTTAGAAGCAATTCTTCTGAAAATATGCCAATGTTTTCATATCTTATCTTATTTTCTGGAAAAGAATTGAGATACCTGGTTAAATAAAGGAGGATTGACTCCCAGAATGCAATTCGATATTTTCCGACAGTGAAAATATCAGAATGTCGTTATTGTTTTATATGGTTCATCAGCAACAATACCACTGTCTGAGGTCAATTGTGTTCGACTCCCAGCGGTCATTATGTACGTATATGAGGTCCATCGTGTTCAACTTCAATCGGTCACCGTATTTGTCTTTGATGTCCATTGTGTTCGACTCCCAACGGTCACTATGTATTTGAGGTTCATCGTTTTCAACTTCCATCAATCACTGTATTTGTATTCGAGGTCCATTGAGTTCGACTCCCAACGGTCACTGTGTATATGAGGTCCATCGTGTTCAACTTCCATCAGTCACAGTATTTGTATTTGAGGTCCCAACGGCCACTGTGTATATAAAGTCCATCGTGTTCAACTTCCATCAGGCACAGTATTTATATTTGAGGTCCACTGAGTTCGACTCCCAACGGCCACTATGTATACGAGGTCCATCGTGTTCAACTTCCATCAGTCACAGTATTTATATTTGAGGTCCATTGAGTTCGACTCCCAACGGTCACTATGTATATGAGGTCAATCGTGTTCAACTTCCATCAGTCACAGTATTTATATTTGAGGTCCCAACGGCCAATGTGTATATGAAGTCCATCGTGTTCAACTTCCATCAATTACTGTATTTGTATTCGAGGTCCATTGAGTTCGACTCCCAACGGTCACTGTGTATATGAGGTCCATCGTGTTCAACTTCCATCAGTCACAGTATTTGTATTTGAGGTCCCAACGGCCACTATGTATAGATTTATGAACTTTATTACACATTCATACCCATAAAAGGTTAAGTGTACACAAAGTAAACACTAATTTTACAATATATCAATACAACAGAAAACAGTATATATAACAACACACAAAATTAACACTTCATAATAAATAAATAAGTAAATAAATGAACAAATAAATATGCATCATGGATAAGCACATGAATGGTGATTGTGATACGCGTCCATTGTTTATGTCATATATCACACCCTTCTATGTTATATTACATTTATGAATAAATTCCGCTACAATTTCAATTTCTTTATTTTCACAAGACATACAATATTGGAAAAAAAGTGAATCGTCCTCCATGTTGAAAAGGTGTTTAATTGGGTTGCCGTGTGATACAAGTTTATCGAGCATTTTCTTTCTATATATACTGTATTTTTTACATGAACGCATTATGTGTTTTTCGTTTTCTATTAAATTGCAAACCTCGCAAATTCTTTCATCGATCTTTAATTTTGGGCGTTCGTATCTACCCGTTTCTATTTTTAATTTGTGGTTACTGATACGAAACTTTGTTAGACTTCGTCGTAAATGCCCATTTGAAATTGAATCTAAATATGGTTCGAACCTGAAATTGCTTTTAAATATTTTGTATGTATTCAGTTTGCGACATTGGTCGGAATTCAATTGATTTCGCCAATAATCTTCAAAACTAATTTTTGATTTACAAACACCTTCGGATGCGTCAATAGTATATGAGGTCCATCGTGTTCAACTTCCATCAGTCACAGTATTTATATTTGAGGTCCATTGAGTTCGACTCCCAACGGTCACTATGTATATGAGGTCCATCGTGTTCAACTTCCATCAGTCACAGTATTTGTATTTGAGGTCCCAACGGCCACTATGTATATGAGGTCCATCGTGTTCAACTTCCATCAGTCACAGTATTTATATTTGAGGTCCATTGTGTTCGACTCCCAACGGCCACTATGTATATGAGGTCCATCGTGTTCAACTTCCATCGGTCACTGTATTTGTCTTTGAGGTCCACTGAGTTCGACTCCCAACGGTCACTGTGTATATGAGGTCCATCGTGTTCAACTTCCAGCGGTCACTGTATTTGTCTTTGAGGTCCCTCGTAATCGATTCCCAACAATGATATCCATCGTGTTCAATTTTCATCAGTCACTGTATTTGTCTTTGAGATCCATTGTATAAGATTACTAGCTGTCACTATGTCAATGAGGTCCATTATGTTCAACTTCCATCGGTCACTGTATTTGTCTTTGAGGTCCATTGTATAAGATTCCTACTGTCACTATGTCTATGAGGTCCATCGTGTTCAACTCCCATCGATCACTGTATTTGTCTTTGTGGTCCATTGGGTTCGACTCCTAACGGTCACTGTTTCTATGAGAACCATTGTATTAGATTTTGTCACTTTGTCTGTGAGGTCAATTGTTTTCAACTTCCATCGGTCACTGTATTCTTAAGGTAGAAGTTCAAGAGGTTTGCGATATCCGAGTATATAAAACATGTAAAATAGTGAACTTTGAATATTGAATTTATATTAAGTATAGCAGGGAAGATGGTTTCATTTATTTGAGTTATTAAAGATAATGGCTGCACTTTTGAATTGAGCGATACTAGTATATAGTATATAAAAAATCCTCCTCGAGCAGAGCTCTTATCCCCATAATGCATCAGCCCGTAGATGTTTTAACCTAATCTATGAATCCGTATTTGAGTTACTGCCCGGCTAGACGAAAGGAAGGATGAACGGACGGCTTCTCTATGTATATCCCTCACGAACTACTTTCTATGGGATACATATAAATGTCACTTAGGATGGTATTGTATACATGATAAAACAAGCAGCTTTAATGTTAACTTATATTTTTACCATCGTAGTATACCAGGTACATGTACGTATAGGATGTTAAGGCGGAAAAAACTGAGCTAGCCATTCATATAAAGTTTAATAATGAGGATTCGCCATTTCACTATTAAACTGATATTTTCCATCATCGTTGTATACGCTCTGGGAATTTTGATATTGTACAGGAGGAAAAAACTTGAAGCAATTCGTATCTGTGAATTAAGGAATCGGGAGATGTTTCCGAAAGACAAGTGGGGCACATCATTAAATCGTCCACTTGGAACCAAGGCCTACAGAGCAAATGATATACACAATAAGCTAACTGTACTGGATATTCCGAATGCCGACCAATTCTTGCCAGCGATTGAAGACCACAACTATTACATTATGATGAACATATTGAGAAAATTTGTTGATGTTTGTCAAAATAATTCATTGGATTATTTCATGTGTGGTGGAACTCTACTAGGAGCGTATAGACACCATGGATTCATACCTTGGGATGATGATTTGGATGTGATGATGAATGTCAGCCAAATGCCCCAAATTAAGGCAATTTTTGGATCACTTGGTCCGGACTATGTACTTCAGGCTCCAAATGGAATACTCCAATGGAAATTATTTTCCAAGAACTCCTGTAACATTATGTCAAAGGATTTTAAATGGCCATATCTAGACATATTTTTCTACGAGGAACTAAACAAAACACACATTCGAGATTCTATCGTCTATTATGCGAAAGAAGTATTTCACAAATCAAAAGTTTGGCCGCTTCAAAAACGCAAATTTGAAAATATGGAAATTAATGCACCGTGCGATACTGCGACATTTCTGGATACACATTATGATGTATCGTTATGTATGAGCAAAGACTACAATCATGCCAAAGAGGTATTTACGAATAAGGCAACAGCGATTTCGTGCGACGTGCTTCACCATATCTACCCATTTGTGAAGCGAGCAAAATATAATGATCATGTAAAGGAAAGTCTCATGTTAGGTAACATCACGCTTGAAATTGTGAATCTTCCAAAGACTTGTTGAGATGTCTTGTGCCCCCCCCCCTACTACACGCCTTCCCTGTGTGAGAAGTTGAATATCACTCGGATGATATCAATCATCCTTGTGATATTCCCCATATCAAGTCCCTCCTGGTGAATAACTTCTTTTTATCTCATGATTAATGTGTTATCTGTACAATTACAGCTAGTGATATTTCTGATATTATTGAAATCCGTGTGATATTTTCCAGAAAACCGTATATCAAACTCATATGCGATTGAAATCGTTTATCTCACGCATATCCGTGTGATAAATAAATTTGAATTTCGCGCCACAATACTGTTGAAAATAGGTCAGATAATTTATTATATTGAAGGCACATTAATGTCTTACATTATTATTGTATGCAGTTTGATTAATCCCGGTATACACCAATGGGGCAAAATCCCAAGTAGTCCCACGAGGTCCAAGCAATTTTAGGATATGCTTTAGGATGCTGCTTAATAACGATTAAAATGGTAGGCTATATATGACGAAAAAACTGAAACCCAAAAACATATCGAAATCGTTTGCGCCATTTTGTTATGAAAACGGATCCTTATTGTGGAACTTATGGAGTTCCTCCACGGTGATCGTGCAGTAAATTTTTTTCAAATCAGAAGTGAAAGTGAAATTGTCATGGGATTCCGATTACTATTTCAAAGGTTATCCTAATTTCCACGAACCAGCAAAGTCAGCAAATGTTGTGGCTGTCTTTACAAAGCTGCTATGTTCATTAAATATAACACCAAGATACATGTACTTGTAATCTTAAACAATCTTTAAAGACTGGTTCCCAAATTTAAAATCAAACCCTGATAGTTTAACCCTTTTGTGCCTACAATATACAATATTTGACTTATCAATGTTTAAACAGAGTCGCCAATTTTTACACCAGTCAAACTAATTGATAACTGAAGGAATTTCTCATTTTTTATCGCATCCTTGTTTTGTACAGTAATATAGATGTACAGGTGTATTGAAGAAGATCAAACATTTGTTCAATATGACTGTCATGCCTTGCTGTCATAATTTATTGACTAAACTATAAATAGACATATTATCTACCACAGCTTGTCTTAATCAGTTTCATTTTTTGTGATACAGAGCATCAATAGATACAGAGTCAACTTGAAACGATGTGCAACTTAATATGAAAATACATTTTCAGACTATGAAAATCAATACACATACTTATAAATAAATGCATATAATTTAATACAGTACATGATAGCAAACTTCATGTATTTTTACAATGTATGATTTTGTGTTCTGTAAAATGCCTTAGATCATTGGAAGAATTCTGCATTATATATATGTCTGCTCCCGGTTGTCTGCTACATGAAAATAGCCATCAGCTGTTCAAACCATTCTGAAGCGATAAAAAGCATTATAAATCATTATAATTATCTTTGTCAAATTCTGAAATGGTTGCATATTAGTTCAAGATGTATGAAATATAATCCCGGAATATAATTTTTCAGCAAATATATCATTTTTTGGACTCAATAGTATAGTTTCTAAATAGCTAAATAAAGCTGAATAAAGCTGACATAATAGATGTCACTTTGGGCCAACCTTCCTTTGAGTTCTATGCTAAAAGCTTGCAATAGTCACTTACTTTCATGATTTATCAAAGAGTGCTAGTTAAATCTGTCTGAAACTTGAATGGCATACTATTACATGATCCTGTCAATGAATTGTGATTAAACATGAAAATGTTGGTTGTCATACGATTAAACCATGGTTTTAAAGAATTTTAGCATAACATCAATTGAGATTTGGCCCAAGTTTTTTTTTAATGTCATGGAGAATGATATTAATGACATAAATGTGTAAATCAAAGCTATTATTGTAGGAAACATATCACTGAATTCAAATATGCTATTAAAAAGAAAGAAAAGTAAGTCATTAGAGGTAAAATGTGCAAATCTCTTAAAATCTCATGAAAAACGAGAATTAGCGAGATTTCAAAATCATTTAGAAACTCCTCAATTGAGGGTCATAGAGTACAGAAATTTGATAATCGCTATTATTATATCACCGTCTGTGGTGTTTTTCATCCAGTGTAAATCTAAAATCCTTTACAAACTACAATGTTACGATGTAAACATGAATCAATGGGGTAGATGACACTGGGAAAATTGATTTTTATTTACTAAGTTACATTTTCTATATTCATTTTATATTTTACTATTGTATTTAATATTGTGCTCAATGTTTACATTGTTAAAACTATATATTATTAAGTTCTAATCATGCTTCTGCCTAGAAAACATTCTCAAGAGACTGGGAAATATAACAATAAATAATAAAATAAATATGTCACCCTATTTTCCTTGAGTACCTGTTGCACTTTCAATGATTCTGCAAGGTTTAATGACTCTGACCTTTCGGGCTTTTTGGAATACATCTATTGCAAGAATCATTGACAGTGCAACACTGGTATTCAGCAAAAACAGTAGGCCGATGAAACATTTGAATATAATCTGTAATTGTGGAAAGGGGTTTCAGAAAAAGCAGAACAATTTGAATAAAGTGTACATACAGACATACATGATGAAAATGCTAAGAACCAGATTTTTGAATTGTCGTGTTGACAGACACACAGACGGATGGACGGACAGACAGGCAAACGGCAGACAAGTGGGTGATTCCAATTGCTCACACCATGTATACAAAAAAAGTTATTTTACAAATAGTCTAGGCTGTGTCATGTCTGTTTTACATAAATAAATGCGTGTACACAATGAAAAAGTAATGAGATCTAATGATAGCTGTACACAGAATTCCTGTACTGATTTACCCAGAGACGGGGGTCAAGTTTATTTGAAAACGTTCTTACTGCTAGGTGGTTTATTATTTGCCCTTTAGAAGAGAGAGGATTGTTTTTTAAGAAGCTCTGTCTTCACTTTGTGCAATTATCATTCTTGTATGGATGTGAGAAAGAGCCAGAAAGTCAAAGTGTGTTTAATTACAAGATCCCAAGTGCTATTTAATACTAGACAACGGCAACGCCAAAGCGTAGCAAATCCAATGGAACAGCCATGGCTGGCATTTTTACAAACAAAGTACAAGTATGTAGCAAAAATGGCAGCCATTTTTCAAAATGGCCACCTTCTACCAAAAGTGTGATTAGACAGTGTGCCATGCTTATCATATTCACATACCAAATATGAACAACATCGCTCCACTACTTTTCGAGTTACAGCAAAAATCGTAAAATAATGAGTAAAGGCAGCAATTTTTCAACATGGCTGCCATGTGCTTCTTTAATATCTTCATTTCTAGCTTCATTTATGTCATATATGACTTTTTTACATTTAAAGCATATTGCTATTACAGTTTTACATATTGCACCTAAATTACTGTAAAATCGGCACTAAAATGGCAGCCATTTTTAAATGAGCAGCCATTTTAAAAATCAGCTTTCAAGCAGAATTTCTACCCCCATAGGGTATATGTGTACAAAATCAGGCCAACGGTATTTGAGTTATTGCCTAGATGGACGGACGGAGGCGTTCCCTATATCTCTCCAAACTTTGTTCGATGGGATAATAATCAAATACTATGTAACTTTTTATTTAACAGTGTCATGATGTTGTCAGACAGTCAGAGTCATATTTAATTAGTCATTCGATAATTGTTTTTTTTCACAATATGTTATGCATTTGTTAGTGATCTAGAAATGTCATGATTGTATTTTTGTCAATTTTTGAAATAAAAAAATTCGAAGATGTATGGATACATGGAAAATTCATAAATCTCATCATTTTGTTTTGTTTTATATTGATACATATTTCTAACTTAATGCTGGAAATGATGTTTAATGGGTCCCATTTTAAATACTTTTTAAAATACTTTCCATTGTCTAATAATTGAATTTGTATCATGTCAGTGGATTTTGTAAAATACAATTTAGTGTTGTATCACACTGCATTGCTCATTTAAACCTAGAAAGTAAATGTTTTTTGCCATTTTATGCCAAATTGTTAAACTTTGGGGCCCATGGGGTTTATTCTAAAAAATCACATGCCCATTTAACCCCTAAGATGGGCCCATGATATCAAAAAAGATTTTTGACCAGAGACTTTAGACTAAGAGCCTTAATTTGTGGCCATGGGCCTTTTCGGCACCTTGGCATTATGTTGAATGGATTTCTAAAGGGGGGCCTCTACAAATGCCCTCACCCACCCTCTTCGGACAGGCCTGGTCATATATATTATGCCTTAAGTTTATATTATCTAAGTTCTGTTGGCAGAAGAGTTCCCACTGTCTCAATGACTCTAATAATTTAAAATATATTAAAAAAAGAAACCAACCAGATAATCACCTTTTAATGATGTCTTTTCAGCAGTTTGAGGGCAGAAATACAATTTACTGATTAAATACTTTTGACTGGTTAAATTATTTTGACTGGTTAAATACTTCTGACTGGTTGAATACTTTTTACAATTTTGCACATAAATATTACTTCCTGTAAACATGAGCTTTCAATTAGTTGAAAGCCCATGCTGTAAAGTATGAGATTTTATATCTAGCTCATAATACCATGGTTTTATTGGTTCACCAAAAAAGGGTCTGGATTTAATGGATAAGTCCATTGAGGTTAAGAGGGGGGAGGACCCCAGAATTCATAAACAGATACCATATCCAGATGAGCCTCTACAGATTCATATTGAAAGTTCAATGTTTCCGCTGTGGGTTTTTTCCTCCTCTCCTTGAAGTTCGAATGAATAATTATCTTGATTCACAAGGTTTCACTTGCTCCAACTTGTTATTACACCTTGAAAGTCGAAGATGTGAATAATGCTTTTCAACAGACGTATCCTGAGGCCCAGGAATATGTTAAAAATGTTTAAAAAGTCCCCTAGTATACTGAGTTGGTAATGTGTGGTGTATACATGTATATTAATAGACATTGAATAAGAATAAGACTGATTTTTTATTAATAAGAATAAGACTGATTTTTTATTAATGACTGTATACCCGGGCCTCAGGACGTATCACTACAAACTACAATGTGAACCACCTCATTTGAAATACAATAGGCCTACTGTAGAAAAACATGTAGGTGTGGATAACCTTTCGTAAGTTGGAGCAAGTGAAACCTTGTGAATCAAGATAATTATTCATTCAAACTTCAAGGAGAGGAGGAAAAAACCCACAGCGGAAACATTGAACTTTACGCTATGAATCTGTAGAGGCTCATCTGGATATGGTATCAGAGCAAATGTAATTGCAGCATTAGTATACATTTCAAAGTCCTGTTACTTCATTCATGTGAGATGAACTCTTGAAATGGAACTCCTTCCAACTGGAATAGTTTTTACATTTGCTCTGATCTTCAACACCAGCACCTGGCTGAGGAGTATTTTGCTTAAAACTGAATGCAATGTTGAAGAAAATACTCATCGGCTGGGTGCTGGTACTAAAAATTGGAACAAATGTGACCACAGCATTAATGAAGTGTTCTAGTACATTTTTTCTGTAAAGGATTCATTTAGTGTCAAGAGTGGCATAAATTACTTGATTATTTCAGCAACATAACTTACATAAGATAAGAAATTGACAACCAGTACAGGGTGTTCCAAAAGTAACAGGACTGGTGCTGGCATTTTGTCAATTTTGCACCAAGTGTCTTCAAATTTTCACAAATTGTACTTTGAAGTATTGCAACTAAAATTGTATAGTTTCAGAAAAAATGATGAAATGCGGGTAGAGTTGGGGTTACTATAGTAACATGACATCACAATACCCGGGGCAACTTTTTTTCTGAAAATGTGATATCTAACATTTTTGTATTACTGAAGAAAGTATCTAATTCACCTATTATAATACAACATTTCTTGTTTATTTTATTAGTTGCTTTGTTGTAAAGGTGTTGCTATAAAACTCAGATTCAAGTATATTTTCATTATAATAATATTTATTCAATTTCCTGGAATATCACTATGAATTACAGTCTGAACAATTCATGGTTGAGTTTTTGAAAAGCCCCAATTTGAAGCCAGTCATCCACCTTGATAACGCACCTGCCCGCGGGTCACCATTAAAGACCATGCAGCTATAGAGGAGCTAGGTCTTGAGTTCTAAAACCATGTACCATACCGCTACTTCTGATCATGCAACATCCAATCTTTACTTTCACGCAGAATGGAATGCTAATCAGTGCTGTAAGATATGACCTTCTCCAAGATGTTCAATCGACTGTGCGTGACATGTCCTCAAATGGGTTCACTCATGTGTTTGAGTCATGGATACAGAGTGCTACTCTTGTAATGCCCAAAGAGGAGCCTATTTTTCAAAGTACATAAGATACATAGGAATATCAAATGATGTAAAACAAATGTCATTCCAACCAGTTGTTGCATTTTAACTTTGATATGGGATGTTCAAAATGCTTAATGTCTCTTTCTGTCTTAATGTAACTTTCTGCGTGGAATGTTGCCCCGGGTATTGTGATGTCATGTTACCATAGCAACCATTACTCTACCCGAGTTACATATTTTTTTGTCGTAACTTTAGAGTTTTAGTAACGATACATGAAAGTACATTATGTAAAATTTTGAAGACGATTGGTGCATATTTAACAAAATGCCAGCACCAGTCCTGTTACTTTTGGAACACCCTGTATATAGTTCAAGTATGATCAGCAGATTTGAAATCTCATTACACAACTGCTTATATAAGTATACACAAACATATAGTATCTTTAAAAATATGAACTCTGAAATTCAATTCTAAAAATACGAACAAACTGATTGTATTGAGAAACTTGAATTGAAACTGATTAATGTTAACGACCCCAATTCACATAACCTTTGGATGTATACATGTCAATTTAAATACAAAGAGAACGGATACATTACTACACTGAATATTCATCCCTATTGGTATTATCTCAAAAGAAAAGATCTGTATACCTGAGCATGTGTTGCTCATAAATCCTGTGACCAAGTTGTCAGAAAAAACCTCTATTCCTTTACATAAAGTGAACAGAGCATACACTGTACATGAAAAGTAAAACTCCACTATAAAAGTAGTTAAACAGACAATGATACACTTTGTAATCACATCCTGGGGCACAATACAACACACTCAACATTTGTTTAGTTCATCATAAAGAAAAGGAAGTACAGTACATAAAACACTAGTTCACTGCTTTGTAGATGTGTATGGGTATGGCACATACATGTGTACATGTATTGACAATTAATGTTTGGTAATGTAGGAGGAGTGTCAGGGACCACTGACAGATCATAATTTTAAACCAAAAATTGAATTATCGTTTTGGCGGTCTCAGTAATTCGGTGACATGATCACATCGAAAATGCTTATTACAGACCCAAAAATCAATGCTCGCTATGAATGTACCAATATCTTTTTTCATTTGTGGGATATTTTGCTCACCATATAACCGAAGGGAAGTTTTTGAATATAAAGACTTCATAATCTGAATGGATGCCAGGATTCGATGAGTTGGGATTTGAGAAATTATAATTTAAACTGTGTCAATTTAACATGTATCTCAATGGGTGAAAAAGAAAGTTGTTTTCTCCCTGAGTTCTACTAATGAACTGTGCGATTTAAATTCTTACTTGTTAAAAGATGTCACTTGTTATTATCATAGCAGGCATCAGTGACCTCTATTTAAAATTTTATAATAAAAAGCACACAAGTGAATAAAGAATTTGAATATTTTATTATGTATTGTATTATTTTCATCCTTTGTTTTAAAATATTCACTAACATAATTAAGTTCACAACTCTAATTTTCATGTTGGGAAATTCCCAATCTCTAAGCATTTCTGTTTCCTCTCTGCAGACCTAAGATCCATGGGGAGTAAGTCACCCCTCCCTCTTATATTCTGTAGCCTAGGGGGGGGGGGGGGTGACTTACTCCCATGCTTATAAGTTTTCCTCAACCTTGAGAATAATGAAATCAAAAATTTCAATCACGTTTTACACATTTTCTAGACTATCATTCATTCCACAAATTAGTTTACATGTACGTTGACGTGACATTATTTTTGAACATATTGAAGTTACAATTGATTATATTATCATCATATTGTTCATGTTGTGTAGAATATAGAGTCCAAAGAGAAGGAAGAAAGCATGGTCAAACTACACAAAAGGCTCAGAGTTTGACAAAATTGACAACTTAATGGACTATTTGTAATTTACAAGGTCCCCTCGGAAATAATGCTGTGCCCACATGCCCGTAAAATGGACAAAATGCATGTTGGGGATCATACGATTCAACAAAAATCTGCAAAATTTGACAAGCAGTCTAGGTTGACATGACCTGTAATAAATACTTAAATAGGTGTGGTTCATAGAAGTCCACTATTCTTCTAATAATATATATCTTTAGTTCTTTGGTAGCATTTCAATGAAGTCTCTTTCGATGATATGTTCTATATATTGCTGACTGTTAGTACATGCCTCTGCTAATAATGGATCACCGGTATACTGTCCGAAATCAGGCAGAGATTTTGACTTTGGAGGCCTCCGTATGGCTCCTGATTGGCTAGTAGGTGTGTAGCTATGCTCTCGTTTCTCATTGGTTTTGACTAAGGCATTGAAAAACGGTTGCAGCTCCTGAAGACTGCGTATGCTTGACATGTTCAGCAGAGGGCGACCAGGTTCACGTTTCGGAATGTTAGATTTCATCTCAAACTAGAAATAAAGTTTTTAAACTTACAATAAACATTGGTGGACCTGGAGCAACAAAAGGATTTTTAATTTGAGCCTCAAAATGGATATCTTTGGAGCATATTTTCAATGCACCTTACAGTTAAAAAGCTTGAATATTGAAATGAAATAACTTTTGGGTCATACAGGGGTACACACATTCTTGATATTATTGGATGAATAAACACAAGGAGCACATGTGTCTCGAACTCGCAACCTCGTGGTTACGGCACCCAATCGGCTAGCCTGAATGTGCTGGCGCTCAAGCCCTCTCGGCTTCAATAGTGGAGATAGTGATGTTCAATTATGAGCATTTGGTGTATCTATTTTTCATTAATATTGTTTATTTCTACACTCATTCTAAATAACAAGACATTAACATGCAAAATGTCACAGCCTGCCATTTGTTACAAATAACAACTGCTGAATGCTGTTACAGGTGCCAAACAGCAACCACAAACACCAACTGCCAAACACAAGCCACAAAAAAGTTGGAGACATATGTCATCACTTCTGGTGGTGACACAGTAATTACTGTGCTATATACAGTAACATGTACGAGTATCACAAATTATATAACATTTTAAAATATTATATGTTCATCATGAGATTATGGAATATGGAATATATCCACTGAATTGAATAAACACTACTTAAAACCACACTGTTTTCATGATAATGACATTCTTGAAGATGAAAAGATTTTATGTCATCATATTCATTGATGCATATTATGGATGGAGAGCCTTTAAGTGAAGGCCTTTAACCTCTTGAATCTCAGGCTCTAAAATCGGTTAAAACCAGAGAATTTTTCATTTTTGCCAACCTTTTGACATTTTACTACATACCTACTGGTATATATTTTTAGATGTTCAACTTAGTAAAAAATTAGATAACAGAGACCATTTCTACACATTTTAAAACAATTTTTGTGTAAACTGGATGAAAATTGTTTAAATAAGGGCAATTTTGGTGAAAAATTTTGTGACCGATTTTCTCGTCACTCTGGGTTTTAAGGTAATTTCTGAGGTGACGAGACATCTTGTCACTTCGTGTAGTTAAGAAATTAATAACTTTAGGTTGACAAGTTGCAGAATGGTTTAAATGCTATACTCATGACACTTAATTCAAAATTGGAATAAAAGCAATTACTGTTAGATTCTTCTACTTGCAAAATCATGAGAAGTCATTGGAAACCACACAACACATACATGCAAATGGATAGAAATGATATCCCCTAGTCATAGCCATATGCTACTTACCTTTTTATTAATAGCCTTGGCTATACGTGTGAGATGTGGAATGAAGCCTGGCTTCTCCTTTTTGTTGCTTCTACGAATCTCCTGCCCCTCTCCAGTGAAAGCCCACCGATATCTGAAATGAGTCGATTAATTAATTCAAATATGTTTAGAAAATAAAAGGGATATCTGTATTAAGTAATTATCATTTTAATCATTATTATCTATATAAAGTAATAATTAGACATATATTTCTGAAAAATAAAAGTCCCTATCTGATCTAATCTTTCAGTTAATTTTTTTTAGAAAATAAAAGCAATATCTGTATTGTACACATAGTTCAATCATACATGTAGTTCAATTGTTCACTAAGTTCAATTTTACAAATAGTTCAGTTGTACACATACATGTACTGTAGTTCAATTGTACACACAGTTCAATTATACACATAGATCAATTGTACACATACTGGTAGTTAAATTGTATAAAAATTAAAATTTTACAAAGAGTTAAATTGTACACTGTTTAATTCTACACATTCAATTGTACAGGTAGTTCTAAGCAATAAAATGTTTAGGAAGAGGAAACATCTGATATCTACTACCCAAAAGCTATTTTACATTATGAATAATTGGAGTTATTCCATAATAATAACATGTTTTCCCCGGGAAAATTACAGGGAATAAAATTGATATTCAAAAAATCCTGTATCGGATCCCGTATCAGCAAAAATCCCGTATCAGAACTATTCCTGGTAATTTCTAATTTCTGAAAATGTTATATGATAAATTGTATCATTTTATGTCACAATCATTGGGTGATGACATACAAAAATTAAAAACAAATAAGTTTTAGAAAATTATTATAGAATAAATAGGTTATTGATGGTCGTGATGGAATATGAATTTTTTCCTTGAGAAAATATGATATCGTCCTCGGTCAATATGATATTTTCCTTGGCCAATATCATATTTTCCCTAGGAATAAAATTCACATTCCATCCCTCCCATTAAATAACCTCTATCAACATCTGAAATAACATAATAACTTAAGATTTAACTTACAGCTGGAACTGTGGAAGGGCATCAGCAGGTAGCACCAGGGCCAGGTCTAGTAGCTTGCAGGCAGCCAGATAGAGGTGTAGCCAGGCAGGGTTGTTCTGAGCATTAAGACCATTACTCTGGGCCCAACTTGGATCTAATGCCACACGTGAGAGATTAGCCCTGAAAGTACATGATAGAAATTCAACATTATTCACCATTTCACAATGCATGAGAGATTAGCCCTGAAAGAACATGATAGCAATTCAACATTATTCACCATTTCACAATGCATGAGAGATTAGCCCTGAAAGAACATGATAGCAATTCAACATTATTCACCATTTCACAATACATTCAGGCTATTCTTTTGGGCCTAACTTGGATCTAATGCAACACGTGAGAGATTAGCTCTGAAAGTACATGATAGCAATTCAAAATTATTCACCATCTCACAATGCATTCAGGACTTTACATTCAGGAATATATTTATCAACAAGAACACAAATGTGTACAATATGTCCCCACCAATGGGTGATCCCATCTAATGGTTATCCTGAAAATGAGTAGACAAGACTTTACTGCTACAATTTTGGAACGGAAAATGCAAAATGGCCACCTTAAAATTTACCAAGAATGCCCAAAAAATTAGTCAGTTCTAGATTTTCATACTAAGAATCATCCCTAAAAATTTGAATTGATCTACCAAACAGTTCACCTGAAAACACGTAGACAAGACTTTACAGACAAGATTTTAGCACGGAAAATCCAAAATGGCTGCCTTGACATTTACCCAGAATGCCAAAAAACTAATCAGATCTAGATTTTCATACTAAGAATCATCCCTAAAAATTTGAAATTGATCTACCAAACCCTTCACCTGAAAACGCGTAGACAAGACTTTACAGACAAGATTTTAGGACGGAAAATCCAAAATGGCTGCCTTGACATTTACCCAGAATGCCAAAAAACTTATAAGATCTAGATTTTCATACTAAGAATCATCCCTGAAAATTTTAAATTGATCTACCAAATGGTTCACCTGAAAACGCGTAGACAAGACTTTACAGACAAGATTTTAGGACGGAAAATCCAAAATGGCTGCCTTTCCATTTACCCAGAATGCCAAAAAACTTATAAGATCTAGATTTTCATACTAAGAATCATCCCTGAAAATTTGAAATTGATCTACCAAACGCTTCACCTGGAAATGCATAGACAAGACTTCACAGACAAGATTTTAGGACGGAAAATCCAAAATGGCTGCCTTAACATTTACCCAGAATGCCAAAAAATTAATCAGATCTAGATTTTCATACTAAGAAACATCCCTGAAAATTTAGAAATGATCTACCAAATGGTTCTCCTGAAAACGCATAGACAAGACTTTACAGACAAGATTTTAGGATGGAAAAATCCAAAATGGCCGACAATAAAAAACTGATTATAAGTTTTTGCTAATTTCTTTTTACAAAATTAGCACATATAACTACTGTTAACAATAACATAGGCTTTTACAATAAAGTACACCTGAAATTTTTTATAAAGCTACTAAATATCCTAAGTATGAAAACTCAAAAACACCATTCAATATGATACAAAGTATTATCGCACGCTAACTTTTCTTAAGACATTCAAAATGGCTGCCATGACTGGGCTAACAGGTCCAAAACCTAATCAGATCTAGAATCAAGTGAGTTGAACAGGATGTTAAAGTTTTAAAAGCAACAGTGAAGCCATTTTTCTTAAAGTTTGCAGACAAGGATTTTAGCATTTGACTTCAAAATGGCCGACAGGAAGTAGGTATCGAGTTGAAACTTTTTCGTCCACATCTGTATGCACTCATAAGTTATCCTTGAAAATTTGAAGGTGATATCTGTAGCGGTTTAGGAGAAAACTGCCGGACGTACGGACGGACAGACAGACAAACAGACAGACAGACAGACGGACGGACGGACGCGCCTAGGCCGACAATATGGCCCCACACTATGTGGTGGGGACATAATAAAATAGAGGTCTCCCTCGTCAAATGTTTCAATTTTCAAATGGTTTCAAGAATCAATCAATCTTTGTGTCACCCATTTAACCACCAATGATGCAAGTCATTATTTATTTACAATCTATTTTCAAATCAACATACACCATTCACTAACCACAAACATTTGAAAAAAACAAAACAACAAATACCACTAAATCAAGTAAATGTAAGTATTCTTACATAATCAATGCATTTAACTGTATGAATTCTAGCTTTTACAGATTGTATGTGTCTTGCATCTTTGGAATTTGGCATTTAGGGATCAGACAAGCAAGAAATACCATTAAATCAAGTCAATATAAGTATTCTTACATAAACAATGTATTTAACTGTATGAATTCTATACAGCTTTTACAGATTGTACACATGTCAGGCCCGTAGCCAGGATTTGCCAAGGGGGGGGTTCATTTTTCAAAAATTTCCAGGGGGGGTTCACATTTGACAATTTTGGCCCAAATATGGCTAAAATCACTTGAGAAGTGCTCAAAATGGTGAAAAACTGCATGATTTTTTGCCCGAACCCTGCAAACCCTCCCTGGCTACGGGCCTGCATGTCTTACATTTTTGGTATTTAGGTTTCAATGGGGATTTGACAAGCATATAATAGAGGTGTAGCCAGGCAGGGTTGTTCTGATCTAATCTTTCAGTTAATTTTTATATATAATGAGTTGTTGACAATGATAACTCTCACCCACTTGTGGATGTATTAAAATAATGTCGTTCTGACCTTGTACTAAAACATTCCCTTAAGAATCAATTAATGTGTGGATAATAATTGATAAATACAATACATGCCTATTTATAGAAAGATTTTCTTGGAATTTATTTGCTATGACATGGCTAAAATGTTGTTGTGGTTGTTATGGTAACTGGGGTCAAGCATATTATGTATTTTCACTTTTTGACCCTATGTTGATTTTGAAAAGTATCCCCCCTCCCATTCTCATATTTTTTATCATTTTCATGGTGTTTGTTAGCTCAACCAGCAAAAAATATTGTTGTACAACATTATGCAACAACGTCATATAATTATGTAGCCAACAACAAACCTATTTAGTTTTGTTCCCCTTATTCACTGTATTTTTGCCTATCAAAGAGCGCAATTATCCAGAACACTACAGCTTTATAAAATATATTATAGCTACAAAGTGACATGTCAGCCTCTCTAAGAAACTTTTGTCAATCAAACCGCAAGCTCTTTATAACTTTGTAATTAATGCAATTATATTTCATTGTGATACAATAATACATATCAATAATGGTGAACCTCGTACCAGTGAAATACGTTTAGAAGTAATTACAAAGATGGTATTTAGAGGAAAATCTAATTGACAATATAAGAAAGGTTTGGAGACTTTATTCTCAGCACAAATGACAGGATGTTGGGCAATCATTAATACCAATAGTTTTGAGCAGACACTGATCTTCCATCTAAAACTCCTCCTTGCCCAGATGGTTATTCGCCTTTGTAAATACTTAACTTAATTCGATTAAAAGCAATACGCTGTCAGCATATAAGTCACTATTAAAGCCAAGCAGCCCAAACTGATCAAATGAATGTCTAAATTCAAGTACGATGTAATGGTTAAGTGCAAAATCATACATGACTGGGATATATGTTAATGACATTGGTAATGAATTAAAGACAGTCAGAAGTGAAGTGAATTTCCAATATAATGGAAGGTTTGCTAAATAGCTTGGAATTTTCGTTGAAGTCTTGTTTTTAATGAGATTTTTGCATTTTAACCATTAAATACCAAGATTTACTTCTATTTGATTGCATATTTGAATTCTGTGTATGCTTTTCTATTAAAACAACCTTGATTTCCACTGTGACATTTATTTACCTTAATTCAAATTTCCAAGATTTTCGAGTGCTAAATCCCCATTGACACAATGTTAAAAAAAATCTTCATTTACTCTTCAAATACTGCAAAACTGCCAGAGTTTGTTCAATTTACAATAAACCTGTCTAATCAAAATGCCACTATAACCACTAAAAAATTGGATTAACAGGTGTTCATTCAACAAGGGTTTTTAAATATTAGAGTCAATGGAAGATAACAAATTTGAGACAGAAAGTGTTCAGATTCACAGGTGTTCAGATTAGAAAGTTGTTCAGATACGCAGGTGTTCAGATTAGAAAGTTGTTCAGATACGCAAGTGTTCAGATTAGAAAGTTGTTCAGATATGCAGGTGTTCAGATTAGAAAGTTGTTCAGATACACAGGTGTTTATATTAGAAAGTTGTTCAGATACACAGGTGTTCAAATTAGAATGTTGTTCAGCTTCATTGTAAACTCTCAAAGAATTGACGATCAAAGGAAATAATTGTGTCAGTCTTGATATCCTATCATCCAAACACCAAATCCCAAAGCTTTTAAAAAAGCACAATGGTCAATGCAAATGTTACTATAATGTTAAAGGTCTCAGTCTAAAAAAAACATTTCTGAATAAAACCTATATAATGACCCAACATACTGCTAGATGCTGCAAAATATCACAAATAAATGATGACAAGCAGTCCAATAAAGCATTGTAGTACAGTAGACACTGCAATTAGTAGATAAATCACAAGACAATACCAAGTAAATGCAGTAAACATCCAGGCCGATATAACCTAATCCACACTTGAAAGAAGTAAGTTGTTTTGATGTTTTGGATCGTGATACCGATTCATGAATGCTAATCAGGGGATTACATTGTTTCTTTGAGTGTTAAATCAAGTTTGGGATATTGGGAATTTTGAAAATTTAAGGCCCATTTTGGATAATTGGCCTAAAATTTAAAAGAAATGAGGCCCAAAAAGGCCAAGTAATGCCCACAAAAGGCTACTAAGACTCAAAAAATGTTTGGGCCTATCCAAGAGATTGCGATTGAGTCCAATGCCCCCACACAGATCTGCCAGTATGACTGATTGTGTTCTTAGACATTTATTTTTCTTATTGTGCTTAATAATGCTCTTTGGTGTTTCCCCCTTAAGCATTAGGTATTCTACTACAACATGGGTCAATTCAACCTCATCTTCACTGAGTTGTGTACTGCATGTCAGCAGCTCTACGATTTCAACGATGTCACCCCATGAACACAGGTTAATATAACCCACCCCCTATGTTCAATAAGAATGTTACGCACGCCTCTTGTTCTGCGGTTACAAAATACTAGAATCTCAAGGTAAAGCAACAACCAAAACAAAATAAAATGAATAGAATTCAGCAATGCTTTGTAAACAGATGTCAGAAAATCAGAAAAATAGGAGCATCCAGAGTGACATTTATTGCAAAATCATCCAAGATTGATATTTTTACAAGTCTCAATTTAGCCAATAATTCTATAATCGCAGTCTACATTCTATCATAACAAACAGGTCTAATGTTTAGGTGAAATGAGGGCAAACAGGCAGCGTGTACAGATGTAGTAACCATTTCGGGAAATTTCCTTGGCACCTGGAGGTTTACAGTTGAAAACTTTGACTCTTCCCTTCGCTCATTTCATAAGCTCCTTTTTAAATTGAAAATATAGGAATTTTGTGACAAGTCTAATTTCTTCTCTACAGACTTATACATAAATGTTAAATTTGTATTACTGTAATTACATATCTGTTACATTCAGCCATGCTTTACAGGAACTCCCTCAGGATTTTTCCAAGGGGAGGGGTGGTGCGAATACAACTACAATATACTGTACATCTAAAAAAAGAATAAATAGTCTCCAGCATCATAGCTTATATTCCAAGCCTAGCTTTCTCCACTTCTTTCGTCAGATAACACAGTTATTTTTTCCTCCCAGTGTCCTTCTCTACGACAACATTGACAAAATCCTAGATAACACCTACTGTACCCTCCCCTGGGGGACACCCATATAGGCCATGCTTTAAACTGATCTAACCCATCTACAGTGCATTATAGATCACGACCAGGTGTGTCATAAATAAAATGAAAAAAACGCAGTATGTTGTTTTGTTTATTGAGACAAATGCTTCACAGTAATTAGTCTACAGAAGTTTGTCTGTCATAAATACAGGCCATATATCAAAACAATGCATTTAGAACTTTGCAGTTATTGCCTTCTCTTTCTTGGATAACATCAACTGTGTAAAACATATATAACCCAAAACTGCTCAACTTAAAATGCAACACCCTCGGGTACATTCCTGAAGCATTCCTAGCTATGAATATCAATATTTCCATTATTATAACTATGGAATTCACTATGTCATACTTATAATAGTTTAAGGATGTTTATAGAAATGCACCCCTGGTTATCTTATTTAGCAATACAAACCTGTATATAGTGAACACCTATGGAGTCACAAAAAAGTGTTCACAACAGAGAGGTGTTTATTCAGGAACATTGAAATGTTACTAAGGACAGGTGTTCATTAAAGAGAGACTATTTTATACATAAGTCAGAAGAGTATGTGCTGAGAAGGGGTGTTCACAAGAGAGAGGTGTTCACTACAATGATGTGTTCTGTAATTATGAGAGAGAGGTGTTCACTAATACAATGATGTGTTATGTAATTACAAGAGAGAGGTGTTCACTAATACAATAATGTGTTATATAATTACAAGAGAGAAGTGTTCACTAATACAATGTTGTGTTATGTAATTAAAAATGACATTTTGCACATTAGTTTTAACACTATAAATAAGTATATAATGTTTCCATTATCATATATATTACAAATTAAATTGTTTGAGATACCATGCAATAGCAATTAGTTCTCCATTGTATTTCTTAATGAACACTAAAGTATCATAGCATGGATTAGAAGGTCTTGTATATATCCCTGATTAAAGTATAAAAGTACATTGTACCAGACATTAAAACATCTTACTGAAGATTTTGTATCTAATTTCTGTCTGAATTATATTAGCTCAAATAAATCAGGCTTTTATATTATGAGTTTAATAAGATATTATTAGATATGATAAAACTACATTCCCATGATATTATCAGGCATAGGATAAAACTTCATTCCAAAAGCATTGCATTTCTAGGTATAACACAATATTGTATCTATGGTTACTAAATGGAATGTGTCGATTTGGAAAATAATTTTAAACTGTCTGATTGTAAATTACGTGTATTTGTAGTAATCAATATTTACATATAATGTGTAATGTAATCCTATAAGTGATATAAATATCTCTATTTACGAAGCTATTATAATCCAAAATGTTTATTTTGTACTTGTTTAAGGGGATTAAGAAATGTCCAATACCCTCAGCCAAATAAACCCCAAAATTGACAATAAGTCCTCAGAATTGTGCAAGTCTATTTGACAAATGTTTTAAAGCTTATTTTTGTTTTTATTAATTGCATAACATACTCTTCTTTTTAATTAATTACATAACATTGAAAAAAGAGGTCAAACTTCTAATCGTTTCTTAGCCTTTTTGGAAGGATTTTCAAGTTTGCTATTCTATTTAAGGGATGAGAGCATTCATTCACAACCTACACCATTATTTGAAGTGGGTTTAGTCTATTGGTTAAAATATCCTTGCCATATTATCTACCTCTACAAACACCTTCAGTTATATCGTTTCTTAAAAAATAGAAACAACATCATAGTAAAACACTAGATGTACATTCATATAATAAAATCACAATTTCTGAATTTCTGCACAACTTAATGAGTAACTCATCAGGTAATAGATCTCATAGAAGGGGAGTCTATTGGCTGGAACAGGGATAAGCCACACACAAACACAAGACCTGGTATTGATTCAGACAGTCTTGAGTCCGCTATACTGTATAAATAAAGCCTGTCTTGCACTTATAAGTAATACACACACACAGCTCTGGAGTGTGAAGAGCAATTATTCAAATCATAAAATACTAGCAGCCATAAAATAAAGCAAGTCAAATAATTCATTAGTAGATAAGGAACTAATACCATGAAGATATAAAAAAAGTCTGGATGAACTTTGAAAAACTTTGGAGGTGTATTTTTATATGGATACAGATTAGACCCAAGATCCAGTACTCGGAGAACACTAAAAGGATATTATTATAAGAACTTGAACGGAAAAAATTATTGTAAAAGTTAGCCTCATCAAAACTTTAGGTAAGTTAGAATTTTAATATTTAAATCATACATGTTCTTCTGTGTAATACTATAAACAGTGTTTTTATTACTCTATGCCAACACCACTAAACACAATTTATTAGTTCGAGGGTATTGAGACTTGAGAGGCCATCTAAACCTAATAAAAACACTGCTATTGCCATAGACTTTTGTCTGAGTTCACAAAATCACATTCTAATACAGTGACGGGGATGGTTCCATTATGACCACTTATACTATTCAATGTTCTTTTTTAACTATGTTTTAATAGTTTTGGTATTTATAAGCCTATATATACATATTTACTTAGACTGCTCTGCAAACTAAATCTCTGCGTATAGACTTATTTCAGTCATATGATAAAAGACCTGATAAAAACATTTTAAGAATCTTAACTCCAATCACTGATCACATTTCATATTTTTCAACAGAACCAAATTTAATCAACAGAGAACTTTAAGAATCTTAACTCCAATCACTGATCACATTTCATATTTTTCAACAGAACCAAATTTAATCAACAGAGAACTTTAAGAATCTTAACTCCAAACACTTTGATCACATTTCATATTTTTCAACAGAACCAAATTTAATCAACAGAGAACTTTAAGAATCTTAACTCCAATCACTGATCACATTTCATATTTTTCAACAGAATCAAATTTAATCAACAGAGAACTTTAAGAATCTTAACTCCAATCACTGATCACATTTCATATTTTTCAACAGAACCAAATTCAATCAACAGAGAACTTTAAGAATCTTAACTATAAATCACTGATCACATTTCATATTTTTCAACAGAACCAAATGTAATCATCAGAGAACTTTTAGAATCTTAACTCCAATCACTGATCACATTTCATATTTTTCAACAGAACCAAATTTAATCAACTGAGAACATGCAAGATATTGTAAATTGCTCCATTAACATTGTTGAAGCAAATGATCACGCTATGAGGATATAGCTATTATATACCCAAAAGCAGATCTACCTATTCAGCCTTTCACTAGAGCTCACTAGAGTAATATGAAAAGAATAATACTTATCTCAAATGTAATATTTTCTGATTAACTGTTCAACTTTCTATAGACACTTTGATTTAATTATTATGAAGCCTGATGCTTTTTTGAATTTCTTTTACTCTATCTCAAGGGATATTTTGCTTCCTGTGTTTGTTTAGCCTTTTTTGAATACAGCCCTATTACATTAAACAATGAGTCTCTCTTGATAGAAACTGATTTTCAAGCTTCTTTGCTTTTTGCGTTAAAGAAATAAAGATTGCTTTATTGATGTTGTAAAAAATGCCACAAGCAAATTCGCAAAGCTTCAACTAGTAATTGAGATAGTTATGCACAAATTGCGTATCACTATACCATTTTAAAAAAAAATTAATTTTGTATTCTACATGTAAGAAAATAGATAATGATTGATGGCCATCAAGTAATTTACATAAAACAATTAACATACCAAATATGGAGGGCAACGCAGTGGTTGTAATTCACCTGATAAATGACACTATACTTATTAAAGAACTGTTAATCAAAGCAATCCTTTTAATGTTTCAGGCAATACAAGGCAGGCTTAACAACCAATACAGATGTTCAATACAACCTCCACAAATTGGAAACACTATCAGAATTGAATAAAAAAGAACTGTTGAATACAAATTAGACAAAGCGGATACGTTTAAAACCAAAGAGCATAATAAAGGATATGTGCCAATCAGTAGTAATTTGTCACAAACTGACTATTTCAAATGACACTGATTAAATCAAAAAGACACTGAAATCAAATTTCAGTTCTTTGAAAAACCTGATCTGACACATATTGCTTGTAATCTGGTTTGGGACCAGCACAATCAAAATGAGAAGTGTGAAATGAGTTTGTCCGAAAGCAATTATTAGTAAATTCTATAAAGTCAAAAGAAGGTTGATGTTGATTTGGGAAAAGAATTGGTCGAAATGTAATTCAGGCTATAAACGATATGGAAATTGACCAAAAGTTTTATCAAGTAATGGAATTAATTTCATAAAAGATTTAAGCAAGAGAATAAATTTTGTCAGTGATAAGAGGAATAAGACACACACTTATTAAATGAACTGATAACTCAACGATGACTTCATGCCAAAGGTATTTTAAGCTAACCTTTTGAAAGGCAGATTAGAACTTCAATAAGGAATAGAAACAATATATCAACACAGCTTTCAGACAGCAATTAATTTAGAGGTGAAAACTCTAAATCAGCTCCCAGGGGGAATCTATCATCTGAAGTGCGCAAATGGTGGTGAAGGCGTATAGAACAAAGGGATTGGAAGGTATAATTGTGTGAAGCAAGGCGGAAAGTTTCATTTACTCGATTGTGAACTGCCACAGAGTATTCTCTACACAAATATTAAGCTACATAGTACGAGTAAACGTGTTCAACATTTATACTTTATCTTTCTGATTACGCTTCAGGTGTAATGGAAGTCAGCCACTTTGAGAAAGACACGGCCACTTAAGATTTAAGAATGGGTATGATGTCTGACTAAAATACTGATATAATCAGTGTAATCTCAATCACTACTTATTAGCCTTCGTAAGCGGAACATGAACAGTGTACCTATAGATTAGAAATAGGAAACGTCTTATCTGAATGTTTTAATGTCGTCACAGGATTTGGAATATTATAGTTGGAATGAGACATTTTCTGTGACCTTGTATACGATGCATCACGAGCCACGCAATACAGTTGCATATGTCCTCCTAGCTGTGCTATTTGTCGTCATAGTCACACTGACAATTCTCGGAAATGCCTTGGTTTGTTTGGCAATTCTTTTGAATCGCACCCTCCAGCGCACAACTAACTATTTTATCCTGTCATTAGCAGTTGCGGACCTACTGCTTGGAATTATTGTTCTTCCATTCAGCGCCATATTGACATCATCCAAGCAATGGTATTTTGGTATTGTATGGTGTAACATTGATTTATCATTTGACGTCATGTTGTGTACTGCTTCCATATTGAACCTCTTCATGATTAGTCTTGAGAGATACTTCGCCATTACGTCACCTATGACCTACCAACGCTATCTAACATTCCGCAAGGTCCTGATTGCGATCGCTTTAGTATGGGTTGTATCATTTCTATCATCATTTGTTCCTATACATCTTGGTTGGAATACACATGCGGAGTTACATGTTAATGGCACTGACATTACGCATGGCTGTTACTTTTTCGAGAACCAAGTTTATGTTGTGACTTTATCATTGACAACATTTTTCATCCCTTTATTCATCATGTGTGCTACATACGCCAGGGTTTTAATGATCGCAAGAAAACAAGCGCAGGAGATAAACAAAATGTCAATTCTTGCATGTACAGAATCGAGGACTCCGCAGGATCAGAAACACCATAAAAATCATATGGTGAGTGAGCACAAAGCGACAATAACACTCGCAGCAATTATGGGATGCTTTTCTATATGTTGGATTCCATATTTTGTTATATTTACCATAGGACCTTTCATAAACCAAAATGTCATACCCGAAGTTGTACATGACTTTGTACTCTGGATGGGCTACATCAATAGTACATTAAACCCAATACTCTATGCATTTCTAAGCAAAGAGTTTCGAAAGGCATTTAAAAGGATACTGCATTGCAAATGCAAAAAGAGGTAACATGACTGTCTTTCATACATTCTAACCACAGCGATGCCAAACCTGATATTTATTTTTTCAATATATATATATTTATTGAGTTTACTATAGTTTCATCAAGTAATTCTCTTGTATGTATATTAGAATGTAGACTTTTTCAAATGACAATATTGTAGAAAGGCTTATCAATGTTACCAAAGATTTCATTGTAATATATCACTGAGCTGACAGAGAGCTATAACAATCTTCTGGAAATAATTTCCAAATTAATCATGACCAATACCTAATCTGTTGGAAAACACAATTTTGATACTTGATCTAAAGAAAATGAAAAAGGACAGGTTCTGACCACTAGGTATACATTTACGTCACCATTTGCCAATAAATGCGATCAATATGCCAATGAAATGCAATGCACAAACAGAATAGGTTTACTAAATTAAATAAATCCCACTAGAGTAAGAGAGGATAAACAAGTTATTGAATATCATTATGGACTGTATAAAGTTGCTGATCTGACGAATTTACATATTGACAAGGAAGATTATCCTATACCAGAACCATGTCTGGATTTCTTTTAATAATCTGTTTAATTTCATTGTATAATATACAGGTACAAGTAGTTGTTGATATGAGTGACCATTTGCTATGAAAGGATAGCATTATAGGTTCACTCTATGTCTGGATTTAAGTCAAGTATATACACTCTTGAGAATGTCCGAGTCAGTGAGATGTGAGCTCATTGACATTGTATGTAAAATGTTGAAGAAGATTCTATTGGATCACACTTACATTGAAGATTGAAGAAAGGAGTTAAGATTTCATTTTAAAACCAAACATATCATTTAGAGTAAAACTGGGTTAGTGAACACCTCTCTCTAGTGATAACCTGCATTAAGTGAACACCTCTTGAAGACACATTTTACATTGACTCCTGTATAAAATCCCCTCTATGTAGTGAACACCTATCTACAGAGAACACTTTTTGTGGCTCCATAGGTGTTCACTATATACAGGTTTTATTGTATGTCAGCTCTGTATCACCTATCAACAGTACATCAACCCATTTTGACTGATTTGAGTAATCTATATAAAATACCTTGAAATAAAATGTTTCAGCTGCTATGAGCAAAATCAATTATTGACATAACATTGCTCAAACTGATACATGAAATTTAATGAGAAATGTTGTCAAGATTAAAACCTTTACAAATGCTGACTAACAGTAGAAACAAGTCATTTCTTAAACTACCTCATACATGCTTATCTCTCTTGTTATTTAATTGTGCAACTTCTGAAAATTAAGTATTGGGCGACACGTTTAATGATATGATGTCAAGAGTGAGTGAGCTAAATCTGACACGAATTGCTCTAATAATAGCTGAGAAAGTAAATGTTGATTGTATTGTAGGCATTAAAATACTTTTTTTAGTCAGGTTCACAATAACCGCTTTGTTCTTGTGTATACATTTATTGATAGATTGTTAGAAATAATGAATTACATTTGAATTGTTACTGTACTTTACTTTTGTAAGTGACTTTGAGTAAATTGATTATACTCGCCTGGACTAGACCAATGATAATTAATAAAGGCAAGCAACACAAATATACAGTCTATATTATACCAACTTTGAACTTATGCTAATGTAGGACTATTCTAGGAGTAGACCTAAATAAATTATTTAAAAATCTTTTAATACAGACCTAAATGATTTATGATTTACATGTTTATAATTTTTCTAAAACAACTTTCAAATCCAGTGTTTCTGGTGGAATCTCTTGTGAAATATATCTTTTTCTTTTGAGTTGGATTGTTTTTCACTAATAATTACTTCTAGCCATAAATTAATCAAAGATCTTTTGAAATAATATCTAGTTAGTGTAACCTGAGAATTTATCATAAAAACATGTTTTACTGACATGAAGAAATAATGACAATATAAAATATCATGGATAACTGATATTACTATTATATTGTTCAAGGATGATGTTTTTTCTATATAACTAAAATGGAAAACATGCATCTTGTGAATCCTAATTTCATGAATAGAATAACACAATTATCCCATTTTAAACAAAAGAGAAACTTAAAGCATGAATAAAAGTAAACTGCAACGAAATGCCATCTCCACAACACAAATTCACATGCGATCAATTCTAATTTATCACCAGAACAACGGCAACGCCAAAGCGTAGCGAATCCCATCGAACAGAAATGGCTGGCATTTTTACAAACAAAATATATAGCAAATATCATAAAATAACACCCATAAGAAAGGCCACCATTTTCAAAACGGTTGCTCACTAGTCAAGTTGTCATCAGAAGAAGTAATATGCTTTTAAGCAGCCACATATAAAATTTTTAAAAAATTGCACACACATACATGTAAATGCTGGCCATTTTTAAAATGGCCGCCTTCTACCCAAATTGTCATGAGACAGTATGCAATCCTTACGAGTATTCACATATCAAATATGAACAAAATCGCTCTATAATTTTTTGAATTATAAGGAAAAATGTAAAATAACACACATAAAAATGGTGGCCATTTTTCAAAATGGCCGACTACTCCCCAAAGTTTATTAGACAATGTGCCATGCTTAAAGTATTCACATATCAAATATGAACAAAATCGCTCCAATACTTTTCGAGTTATAGTAAAAAATGTAAAAATGACAGCCATTTTTTAAAATGGCCACCTACTACAAGAAGTGTCATGAGACAGAGTGCAAGGCTCATAAGTATTCACATATCAAATATGAACAAAATCGCTCCACTACTTTTCAAGTTATAGTAAAAAACGTAAAAAATGATGGCCATTTTTCAAAATGGCTGCCTACTACCAAAAGTGTCATTAGACAGTTTGCCATGCTTATAGTATTCACATATAAAATATGAACAAAATCGCTCCACTACTTTTTGAGTTATAGTAAAAAATGTAAACTAATACACATAAAAATGGCGGCCATTTTTCAAAATGGCCGCCTATTACCCAAAATGTCATTAGACATTGGGCCATGCTTAGAGTATTCACATACCAAATATGAACAAAATCGCTCCACTACTTTTCAAGTTACAGCAAAAATCGTAAAATGACGTGCAAAGGCAGCCATTTTTCAAGATGGCTGCCATGTATTTCTTCTGTATTTACATTTCTAGTTTAATCAATATCCTATATAACTTTTTTACATTTAAAACATATTGCTATTACAGTTTTATATGCAGTTCTTTAAATTATTGCAAAATCGGCACTAAAATGGCCGCCATTTTTAAATGGACGACCATTTTGAAAATCGGTTTTCGAGCAGAACTTCTACCCCCATTGGTTATGTGTGTACAAAATATGAACAAAATCGGGCCAACGGTATTTGAGTTATTGCCCGGACGGACGGACAGACATACGGACGGACGGACGGACGGACGTACGTACGTACGGACGGACGGACGGACGGAGGCGTTCCCTATATCCCTCCGAACTTCGTTCGATGGGATAATAATTTGAACTCCCTGCAATTTCTGATTTCCTTCTACAGTACATATTATGAATTCAAAGGTTTATTTCAATTTATGTATTTATTATTAGTGAAGGTAACACAACACAACGGATTGGAATAAAACAGATTTCTGAACTTTGACTAAGAACAAATTTTGAACCAATATATACAGTACTCATATATATTGTAAGAGTAATTCAAAAAGTATGAAATAATATAGAACTAAAGTATCAATCACTTATTAAGATTATTCATTAATTATTGCATTAACACAATTTCTTCAGGCAAATTTTAAAATCTATTGATTTTGTTTATTTCAATTTGCTATAGATAATCGGAATGTGGTCTTTACGGAAAATGATGAATTCAGAAAATATCAGAACATAAGAAGGTTGTGTCTAATGGTAAAATTGGACAATAATTCTGTTCCATGCCATATGTATCTCGAGTAATTTCCTTTGTGTCTGAGAAAATGGAATGTGTAAAATGAGAAATCTGTACATATGGTGATATCAATCAAAAATAGTTTCAATTATATACATGTACAATAAGCTGTAGCAAATGAAAGCAAGTACATGATTGGATATCCGGCAAGTCGGTATAAATCCATTTAAGGTCCACTTGCAGATTCCTTAAATTACTTTTGTGAAGAATGACTAGATAGGACTATGTACAATCACCATATTCTTCCATATAAATATGTAAAGTTTGTCTTTATATGTTTCTACACTATGAATCAGTATTTGTTATTTAATTTAACTTATGTATATCTTTAAATAATATACTGTACTTCTTCTTAATTTTGCAGATTTATTGTTTTGGACATTCGACAGATACTTAATTTGGCGGAATTGCAATATCGAAATGTATATACCATCTATATTTACAATTGAAATATGAAATATTGAATTTGGTGGCTTCTTAATTTGGTGGACAATTTTAACAAATTCAAATGGCCGCCAAATTAAGCAGAAGTACAGTAATTAAGTAGGTGGATATGATATGTGGTCAAGTTGTTTAATGCATATGACTCACATAACAATACTAAGGTCAAAAGGGTATGTACAATATTGGTCACCATGCTATAGTAGCAATATTTATACGAAAAAAGTATGAGAAATTACAAAATAAACGATGAATAAAACATATTTCCTTTGTTATTAAATATTTATCATGGTAAATATGGATGATCCTTTGTGAAAATGCCTAATTTAGCAAATAAATATTATCGATAAAAGATAAATACTTGGTTGTTATCATCCCAACTTTAAATATTGAATGTATTTTCCTCACATCATGTAACATACCACTTACAGGCCTAGGTCAAAATAGTCAATAGGCTTTTTCATTAATCAGTGTGTTCTGAGGATGAAGGTATCACCAAGCTTATCATTCATCATCATATTATTAAGTTATTTTCACAATCACATGTCAAGTTCACCCATCATTGAATTTGGCTTTATTTTCATATTGCAATCCCTTTCATGTCTATGATATGTGAAATGCAAGTTATTTTCAGTCCTCAATACCTTGATCTTAACCACCTCAGATATATACAAGGCATGAACATGGAAAAATGTCACCACCTAGCTGCTCACAATATTATTAGTTCAAACTTAAGTCAGATTTGAATTTCTGAGAACCTGAAGATGATTTTGAAAAAATTGGACAATTTGAAGCAAGTTGAAAAAAGACCTTTTGAAATAAATTATTCTTTACTTTAAGTTCGTTCAAGTGATACCATATATTACGTGACAAAAACTCAATGACCCTTCAGAAGCCTGACAATATGATATCTATCTTTAACTTGAGAATGCTGTCAAAACAATGTAAAGGATTATCTCTACTGAAAGCTGTGCAAAAGAAAGAAGCTTTTAGTCCACCTTCCATTAAAACAGATAAAAGAAAGCTGAATGTCAATAATGGGCCCACTGAGAAGAATCAATTACAACAATACAGCTCTTTTTGAAAAAAAGTAAATCATAGAAACCATTCTAAATATAGCATCTGCAAAAATCAATTTAAAGGACAATCATTTAATACATCTTTTATTTGACATTGAATACAACAATGTCAAAGTCAAGTCTCGGTTTTGAGAAAAATCTCCTGGGCTAATAATTATTTTTATGAAAAGTATAGAAATATCACCTAAATTAAATTATGAATTTTCAAAAGAGGACATTTAAATCTACAACATGTAAAAATATCAAAATTGTCCGAAGCAGGCATTATGTGCAGTAGATCGATTCAATAAAAGACAAGCCTCAATTTGGAGAAAGAAGTTCATCAGTGTACTGTGCTAATAATTTTTTTACAAAAAATATAGAAATATCATCCAAATTAAATTATGGATATTAAAAAGAGGACATTTAAATCTACAAAATGAAAAAATATCAAAATTGTCCAAAGCAGGCATAATGTGCAGTAGATCGATTCAATAAAAGACAAGTCTCAATTTGGAGAAAGAAGTTCATCAGTGTACTGTGCTAATAATTTTTTTACGAAAAATATAGAAATATCATTCAAATCAATTTATGGATATTAAAAAGAGGACATTTAAATCTACAATATGTAAAAATATCAAAATTGTCCAAAGCAGGTATAACGTTCAGTTAACTGATGAACTTTGTTCTTCAAACAGAGAGTAGACTTTGCACTGGTATAATACTACACAATAAACTTGACATTTTATTTTCACATTTTCTCATTTATTACATCATATTTTATCTGGATGAGGACAATACATACACTCCACATTCTATCTTTGGTTGTGGGTATTTCCTCATCATTATGACATGTCTTAATGCCACATTCATTGTTTCCAAGGTGCAAACAGCACTAATAAGGTCAATCTGACTCTTTGATAAAATAGGGGAAACCAACCCTTCTTAAATTTATCTTACGCAACCTTTTGTTAC